TTTAAGCATTTTATTCCCATATTTGTATCTTAAAAGAATGTATAAACATAAAAATATATTCATCGATAAATTGAATACTTTGTCCATTTATAATGATTGTCATTTGTTTAATTTAATCCATTTAGATGGTTTGAATTAATTTTAGCTATGGGTTTTCGTATTTATTGGAATATTAAATAGTTATTTATATCTATATATAATTGAAAAAATTTCTGTACAGTAATCGGATAAATGTTCAAATTGGGCGTATAAAACGAATCTAATACCAAAATCGATTCCTGTCGGAGGACGAATAATTTCTATGAAATTTCTCGGAATCAGGCCGGTAAATAATAAATATTATAAGCATCCATTTTTAAAATTTTTTCTAAAGGTTTTATGAATTAAAAGATCTTAAAATAATGCAACACTTTGTCCTTTTCATTAAATACATACATGAATATTTATATATATATATGTATAAATATATATTATCTATGTAAATTTTTTTAAATATATATATTATATATTAATATTATATATATGTGTGTGTGTGTATTATATATTTTTCTTTGATATCTATCTATATATATCCATTTATTTCCGCATTCTGTTGAGAATGAATTTTTTTGATGATTGACCTCTTCTCGTTAACAATCAGTCGTTCAAGACTGGTCTCCAATGTAACATGTTTCCATTTTGTAAAAATTCTTTTGATCTATCTGAAAAAAAAGAATAAAAAAAGTCAAAGACACTATTTTCATTATTCAATATAAACCAAGAGTATATATCTACATTTACTTTTTTCAAAATAAAAAATTAAATTTATAAATTAAGTATTTCATTCTAAATTTATCTTTTGTAAGATTTAAAGATCTTTAAGAGAAAACTTTAAACTTAATAACTCATAAACATTTGGTTTTCGGACATTGGAATTTGTTTTTTGTTTTTTTCTGAGAACCCCCCGTCAATAAAGCATTTTTATAGATCCTTCTATATTATATATCCCAAAATGTTAATATCAAACAATAAAGTGAAAAAAAAAAAAATTAAAAAACCCCAAAAGAATTTAATGCCACGACAAAAAAGGAGTAGCCTTTGCCTCAATAATCGATTACTTAAACGTTTTGTTAACGATCTTTGTTTAATCATTTTGAATGACAAGGATTTAAAATTTTGACAAGTACACCACTAAAACATTCAATGAACCACGTGAATTTGGCTATAACAAAAAATTTCCAATGCCTCTATTCCAATAACCAAAATTTCATTTGAATTAAAAAAATCTCTTTGCTCAAGATTTAATAAATTAATTTTTTCAAGTATCCGAGACGGCTATTGATAATTTTTAAAATTAATTTTTTTAAAAAGAAATTTTGTCTGCTTTATTTTAGGTTATAGGATTTTTTAAATTTCCAATAAAAAATTCAATTTAGTTGTTCCTGTTTAATGCAATTTGAAAGGCTAATGTTTGTTTTTTATTATTAATTCTACCTCATTTTGATTGGAAATTTTTGTGAAAGTTCCACAGGTAGGCAGTTTTAAAATTTTAAATTACAATGGATGGATTCTAAATGGATTTAACGTTCTTAATTATAACTATTGGGTTTTTTTCAGTTATTTCAAAAGTGAGAAAATTCATCCATAATAATTAGGCACAAGAAATATTTGAGAAAAAACATGAAATTTTCCTTGGTTCTTCTGTCCAAAGGTTTTTATGCTAGTTAGTTTTAGTCCTCTTATTAAAAAATTAAACAGTTCATAAGAAATCCTCCTTATAGCAGATTACCTGAAGTTGACGTTTAAGTCGAAACCTGTACATTCAATGCTTTAGGATTTAAATATTTTTCCCTCTACGTAGATTACCACGAGCATTCTCGTTTAGCTTTAAATGGTCGCTCCAAACTTTATTTGGAAATAAAATCTTAAGGCACTGGATGATTTATTTTTTTCCAAGAAATATTTCTAGTTCCTTCTTTTTTTTCCAATTTTACTGCTCTTGAACTCATTTTTTTGTTTGATAGATTTACAAGTTGTCATCATTTTTATATGAGACTTGTTTTTGCTTTGGCAGGTTTTTTATTATATTCATGCGTTATATATATAACCATTATATATTTTCTGTTATATATTCATTTATATATATGAAAATATTTATCTTGAATTAAAAGTGTGATCTGCATATTTGTTAATCCTTTTGGTGATATTTATTCTTTATGTCATAAAAAAAATGTGAAGGATTTGAATAAATTGGGTTATGGTCCACTTTCTTTCGATAATCCTTTCGTTTTCATTTATCCGAAGTAAAGCGGAGATAGTCAATATGAAAGGATCTGTTGTTAAACAATAAAAGTTTGAATATTCACCAGAAATACTATTAAAATAAATAAATTTTTTTTCCGGTTATTTAAAAATAACATAGATTCAAATGCATAATTAACACGTGAGCCCCTAGATTGTTTATCAAATTTTATTGATACTTAGTTTTCAGTCCTCAGTGATATATTTATAAGAAAAATAAGGTTTTATATATATATATAATAAATATTTATATATATATATTTGTGTGTCCACATGTTATTTATATATTGACATATTTCTATATTCATGAGACCTGTCATCTAAATATATATATATATATGTAGGCATATATTAAACAAAATGGTGCTTATCACTAGTGCTTTGGTAGTCGGACTTTGGTCGACAAATGAAAAATACTCTGCCAAATCAACTGTAAAAAAAAAAAAAAACAAAAAGATTACAAATTTTAAAGCGAGTTTCATATCAAATGACAATGAAAATGGTATTATTTAATATCACTACATAGCTGCTTATTACCTAAAACCCAAAATTCCATTGTTTATTTGCATATATTGTTCGTATAACTATCCATAATTTACATTATCTAAACTCTGAATATTACTCATATAAATAAATACTTTGGCTAGAATATATATATATAATTAATTGAAAAACATTCTTATGTAACAACTTTGCAATCCTAAAGAAAACTAATACAAATGATGAAAATTTCACATATAAATACTGATATATGTGTGCAAAAAATTTGGCGAATGTACATATCTTATAAGTCACTTATTTACGTCTATATGCAAATAAATTATGCATACAGTTTATCTCCATATTTAAAATTTACCCATATCATCCAAATCATTTTTGGTGTAGTTTAAAAACACAGAATCCTTGTTTTAATAAGCAGATTACATCCACCAAACTTGAATAATGGTGGCTCAAAAATCGACTGTCTATGGGACGTATCATTCCAAATGCCATATTCGCAAACACAAAACTTAAAAATGTTAGAAAAAGAAAAATGGGTTAAAAAAAAGGAAAAATAATTATTTTGGATGGGCAGATTAAAATAAGCATTGGGTAATAATAATATTAACCCTATTAATAACAATGATGATCCATCAAATTTCTCTGGCAAATACTCGGACTTTTACACAACTCACTTTAAGCAAGCAACAGTGAAACTAAAACCATATTCTGACTCACGCATGTCGTCTTGTGCAGGCTTGGCTCAAAAAAAACTAGTTACCATATTTAATGTTGAGACGTATATAGGCTAAGAAACGAAACGGACTCATTGAAAGTACTTTTTCCTGTTAACAGGCTACAAACGCAGAACACATGAAAAATGGACAATTCTTAGAACCAACTGGAGGGTATTAAGTTTTTTTCTATTTTAAAAAAGCATCAAACAGCTGATTTTGTCTTCCAATTGATATCTGCAGAAATGGGGACAAAAGAAGTTTCTTTTCTTCATCGGTTTGTTTTTTTTTTATTCACTGAAGGAACATATTGAATTCGTCAATTCCTATTTTTTATTTTTTTTATTACCATTCTTGTTTTTTTTTTACTCTTATTTTTTGTTTTCATTCTTTTCTCCGCAAATTTTTTTTCTGTTGAAAAGCGATCACGAAAAAATACTAGCGTCAATTTTTCTCACAAGGAAAAGTGGGTCTATTCCATTGTCGAAAAGTAAACACATCCATTAATTTTGGTTTATCTATCTATCTACGATATCTATCCCAGCCTGGTTCATATCTATTGCATTCATCTATTCATTCAGATAAGAATAGTCTATCTTTTCAAAAGGATTCATGGACTAACATGCCTTATTCGAAAACGATATTCCCATTAGCTATCTATCCCGTCTTTTGGATTAATTATTTTACGCCGTCATCTTAATTTTTATCCAGAACGAATAATTAACGCCAAATGTGGATTCTACCCCATTTTTTTAAGGTTCCAACAATTCAGGTGACATTCAGATAAAATTTTCGTTACAGTCTAAGGACTTGTTGTTGAAGAAGAAAGAAAAGAAAAGAAAGAAAAAGGGAAGATAAATATTTTTTTCATTTTCATTTCTAAATTTCTAATTTAGAAAAATTAATCATATTCTAATATTTTTAATTTATAAAGAAATCAAAAACGAAAAATGTTATATATTTGTTTTATTTTTTTTGAGTAATATTTATTCTTTTTTATTTAAAATTAAAACAGATATATTATTTATATGATTATATATATATTTGTATATTTTGAATATTCAATACTTTTAAATGATTTTAAAAATTCATGTAAAAAAAACGCTAATAAATTTCATCAGAAAGAACTTGCACTATAAATTTCCTAAACATCATTTTCTTTTGCTCTCTTTCTTAATTAATTTTTCTTAATTTCTTCTTTCACTTTTATTTGATCATTTTCTTTTTTTTATTCTATTACAATCCTTATCAGTTTCCTTTTACTTATTCTCTTTAATTATTGATACATTTCGTATCTTCTTTTTTCTTTCTTTCTTTCTTTCTTTCTTTCTTTCTTTTCTTTCTTTCTTTCTTTAAGATCTTTTAACACATAATCACATTAATGTTCACGGCCAAGGAGGGTCATACACAAAAATTCAGATTTGTGGAAGCAAGCGGTCGATTGACCTCTATTTACGCACCACTGTCAAGCAATGAGAATGCATTTATATCTATTGCACTATCATCATGTCATCAGATTACCTTTCATATAGAACATTTACAAGAGACATAAATGAATTCTTTTCCTTTCTCATCTATCTATCTATCTATCTATCTATCTATCTATCTATCTATCTATCTATTATGATTGCACATTTGTCTACATTACCAACGTAAATTGGATAAAATTCTGTACTCAAGAGACCATAGATAATTTTTTTTCTGATTGATCAGTTCAATTTTGTTTTTGAAGATTAATACATTACATGATATGAAGTAAGAGATAATTAATATGAAATATTTTATTTCCATAATAGCCAACAGATTTAGATGTGCAGATAGCATAATCATTATCGGATCGGAAAGTAGAATCAACGAGCCGAGTTCGTTTCTGCCTCTTACGTTCACTTTCGCACTATTACCTTTCGATAAAAAAGTGCATTGTCGACTCCAGCTGTGTGTCAGATAAAAGATTAGACTGTTCTTTAGCTTTGGGTGACTAATAATCATTGACATCATCAAGGGGCATTTTCTTCATTTGATTCCCATTCAATTAATACGTACTTGATTCTCCTTTGGTACTGATCACCGTTTATAGAAAATTATATAATTTTTGCATCGTCTAGCGACATTTTATTCAATGCAGAATTGTTCCAAATCGTTCATATTCAAGGAATTTCATTTATGAACAGTAATTTTCAATTCACGATATAAATGTTCGATTATATTTAAGTCAATCGATTGAGAAGTCTATTATTTTTAAACCATTCTGAGATAGGTTTTCAAAGTGTGTTTGGGACGTTTTGTCTTTTCTAAATATGAATGGCCTGCCGCATCGAAGCTAATAGCAGAAAGTAAGATCTTTTGAAAATTGATATTTTACCAATCCATTTCTCTTCAATCTATAGCCTCCACTTACTACGCTGAAGCAACATCTGCCAACTAAAATGTTACAATAGCATTTTTTTATATTTTGCGACTTGCTGGTTGTGTTCTAAAAGTTCTATATTTGTTTCTTCAGAACAAAAAAAAGAAAGTATTCCAGTCATCATTCGACGAGTCGAAACCTGTTTTAATGAATATTAACCCTGACGGTTTATTTGATTTTCTTTTTTAGTGATTTTTTTGTCCGTTAAATCCTTGTCGAGTCAATATTTCTAAGGATTTTTAAGAAGTTTACATCTCTTTTCTGCTTTACATTCGATTTCGAGTTGTGGGAAAATTGCTTTATAATTTCATTTACCGCTTGAGTTCAATGTCTTACGAAGGACTAATTTATGTCCATTTATGAATGATGGTAACTTAGTGGAACAAGGATATGATATTCCTTGGATATTTTCTTATTATTTCCGCCGATTGATAAGCTTCAATTAATTTCTTTTCCAAGAGAGATTCTGGTAATTCTCTTTGGCTTCATCACGATTTCAAAAATTAATGAGTGTCTAATTGGTTAAATAAATGCATGCATGCATTTTTAGTTGATGTTGGCTATTGCGACATCGAAACAACATAAGAATGGCACAAACTAAATTGTTTTTATGCGCTAATTTATTGCCAAATTTATTTGCTAATGTGAATCAAATGCTCATGCAAAAGTTCTTATACTTAATTGTGTAACTAAATAATTATTAATAGTCACTTATTTATCATTAATTCGTATATTACTAAGGATTATTGAGTAGTTAAGGTCATCAAGCCTAATTCGGAATGACTAATCAGGATAACAAAGAAAATGACCTAAGGGCCAAATACATTTATATATATCTGCATATATGTATAAAGTATATAGGTTTTCTATATGTGCTAATACACATTTACGCGCATGTGTAAACAAACGCAAACATTTGTGTTAGTAGTTAGAACAATAATGAATATGAATATAATGAAAGAGATGAGAACAATCTCAAAACCATGCTGTAACATATTGATATATTTTTCTCTTAGCCAATTTAAGTCGATTAAAAAGATTTTTTTAATATTGTTCACGAAATACAAGACAAAGACTTAAACATAGATATAGTATGGGCGTATAGAGATGAAGTGTAGGATAGATTTTGGTTTACCCTTGACTTGAAGAGGTTAAGACTGTAGAGATCAGGAAAACATCCTGAAACCCGTTCTATACAGCAACAGTTTGGAGGAAGAAGCACTCGGAATGAAACTTACTTCATACCAATGGAATATGAACGGGTTGGGGATGAATCATTTCAATGTACGTGACATGGCAGCTCTTAGCTGTGTTCTGTATTAGTGGCAGCAGGTTCCCTATTTTGGTCTGATCTGGATCCTGTGGAAAGTACCTGACTCTTACTATTAACATGTCAGGAGTAGTCAGGTACTTTTCTGGAGGATTTTTGCAACATCTTTAACAGTCTGTCGTATATACGAGTTCTACAAGATCTAGTATGAGCTTAAGTCCCAATAGATGTTTCAGGTAATGAGTCTCATTGAGAGTACAACCGTTCTTCATGACTGGGGACCACAAGGTCTGTTCGGTGATAATGAATTGTTACAAGCTTGGTTTTGGAGGTACTGAATGTTAAAATCCAGTCCCCCACCACTGAACTGTGCGAGCAACGTCAGCGATCAGCTGCCAGGTTTAGGTCATCTAGAATTTTGGTGGTGCTGCCATAAACTGTGGTATCGTCTGCATATATATTTACCGGGAGGCAAATCGTTAATATATAACAGAAAAAAGTATGAGAGAGGAGAGTGTCTTGGGTGAAGCCTGTATTGATCTCATGGGCATCAGAGGACTAGCCATGAACAACGAG